ACTTTGTTAAGACAATATTATTTTCAACTTACAAAATGGGTAGTTCCAAGTTGAGATGACCAAGACAGCTCCCAGAGGTTCTGACACAATTTCTGCTGAAGAAGGATAGGTTGTCCTTGAAGTTTTGGCCTGCAATATGAGGGGAGATTGGAATTAAATTAGCATAAACTTGATCTTTTATAGATATAGTCCCAACGGTACTTTCCATTGTCAGGAGGGGAGTGGATTTTATTGCAGTTACCTTTTCTGGCTTCATCCATTGTTTCAATTCCTTAAGTGCCTCCTTGCAAGACGATTTTACCGTAGCAACCTGTATTACACATTGTGGGGACATATGTGCAAGGCATGAGTGAGTTGAAAAGATATAGTATATATATATATATGCAAATTTATATACCGTAAACACATGCAGATATTTCATCTGTGGAAATGGCTGGAGTGAAGTTGACCTGCTTCTTACCATCAAGATATATAGTCTTTCGAAACACAGAAAAGAAACTATATACGAAGAATTCAAGTATTTTACACATAATATGGATAAATGGACATACTATAAGCAAATAGATTTAAACCTCAGAAACAAAGGCTTCAAATTCAGGCTTTGAGAGGTCCTTATAAAGGGCTTCATAAATATCCTTCTCCCTTTCCTCGACCATCTGTTCAATGCCCTTTAACTGTGACATTCTCCATTCATAACTCTTTGTCTTGCCAGTTCTAAAGCTTTTATTAAGTTCCTTAACTAGCAAAGCAGCTTCATTCGCATCAAAAGTTTGATTCTTCTCCTCCATCGTTATCGGTCCAGTTGCAGAAGAGCTTTCCAAAATTCAAAATGTAAAAATAATAAAAACACAGCATAGAAACTCCAAAAATGAAAATCAAATGAGGCAACTGGGAATGTTGGCACACATACGAGAGGCAAACACAGAGAGATTTACGAATAGGGCTGGAGCGAGGGAATGAAAGCACAGCTTCATGCTTATGATTGGTCTTTTGCAGACAACAGTAGGTGAAAGTTCTCTTCACACCAGTATCAACAACACTGTTCCACAAGACGGCAACAAAAGGTAATGAGTCAAGAAACATAGCAACTGTGAACTTCCGGCCAGCCTTAAAATGTCGAAGTGCCCAAGAAGATTTGTTCTTTCTTTGCATCGAAAACTTAGAGAGCATCTTTAATTAATTTATTTGTTTCCTAACCAAAACTACAGACAAGTTAACCGCTTAAAAGATTCTTTAACACTTGGGATTATAATAATATGTGGGATTATGTAAGACGCCAGCATACATATTGACTCCAACTTTGGAATCAACCTAAGTATATTTTATTGGAATCTGGTTTAAAATCTACTTGTTTGTTTCCTAACCAAAAATATTTCAAAGATTCTCAACTAATATGCTTGATCATGTAAGACACCAGCATATATATAGGCACCAACTTCGGAATCAAAGTAAGTATAATACATTGGAATCTGGTTTAATTTCCCACCCCAAATTTCAAAGGGAAAAAAAAAAACAATTGTGTTGCCCAAGTTGGAACTTCAGACTTGACCCTCAATTCCAACTCCTTTTGCTTTGGAAGAGTGTTAGTGAATTACAGTATCTTCATTTATCTCATCAGTCTAGCATTATTTTTATGTTTGCAATTAAATGTTCTCCTTTCATTCCTTTCATTCAAGTTGAAAACAGCACCCCTTCTAAACAACATAAATAAGGTTTGGAAACTTCACACAGGCATGCCCAGAATGCACTCAAGCACAAACACACACAAATGCAGAGTTGAGAGACACAGACACGCTGATCATCAATTTAAAGAAGCAGAAGTAAAGGGGAAAAATGGACATAGAATTCAGCCAAGAGAAGTACCTGAAATTTTGAAAGAGCTTAACACAGAAGCTTCTCATGATTGGGGGAGCTTCAGTGGCCTATCAGAATAATGACTGTTAATGGGTTCATTCAACACAGTGGCCTGTTATATACGTACATCTTATATTGTTGCATCAACATGTGGAAACAGTAGACATAGGGAGAGGTTTCTCAGCCATGGAAGAAGAGTATAATTTTGAAAGTTACTTGCGGTCCATTTACCTTTCACGTGCCATTTGTTTCCAAATTCGACCGACCCAGTGTGGCTTTCAAGGGGCCAGAACTGCTATTTTTTGACGTAAAGAACTTAGATAATCAGAAAAGAGCTTTTTGAGCAACGGTGGACCTTTTAGCCACAACGGCAGCACCACGGCACTAGATGAGTTCTACGGGTGGAATGGAATGGATCACGTATATAAATGGCTATTATTGAATCCATTTTGCTTCTCTATGCTAACTTTGGCAGACGTGAGGCTGAAAACGAAGTTTAATTGTTCTGACATTAAGCATCACCAAATTTAGGATTAAGGCACTAAGGATAAGGTAGCAGAGACAATACAGGTTAATTTCTATTTAATTTAATTAAAACAAATTATCTATGTTGGTATTAGAAAATTCATTAAAATTGGCTTAAGGGAGATAAAAAAAAACTTCAATAGATTTATTTTAGCCCCAGGCCCCACAAACACACACACATACACATAATTGTAATAGCTAGAAAAGGTAACGCATGATCATCCAATAAGGATGATAATTTATCCCGTCCTGACGGAGTCCTGTCCCAATCAACGTAGGGATTTCTTGAGTTGATTAGGAAACAGAATGAGGTATCCTGTCTCGTATTTATTTTGAATGAAAATAAGTCAGGGATGATATTTGTCCGCTCTGTCTTGTTTGTCCAGCTCCATCTTTGAAATTAAAATCCAATTACTGATTTTTAAGATTTATTTTTTATATAAATTATCGTTTTTTTTTGTTATTGTGTAAAATTTGATTGTAAAATTAAGAGAGATAAAATAAAAATAAAAAATTAAACGAAACACTGATACCTAGTAGGGATTTTAGTCCTCGTTTAGTGTAAAAATGATATAAAAAATATTACCTCATGCGTAGTATAAGGTGAGAATGAGATAAAATTTTCAAGAACGGGATGGGAACGGGGATGGCCATTCCCGCGCCCGTCCCGCCCAATTGCCATTCCTACCAACCAGTGGGAAGACAACACCCATGAATCTAATATCAGCCGGCTTAGACATCTGCTTGATAGGTGTGGACCAGCCCAGTTATTCGTCGGGTAATAGATTGACCCAAAACGCTGGATCCATGATGGATCAAACTTTGACAATGAGGAAACAGCAGTCCGATCCAGGAGGGAGATAAGATCTTCTAAGCCTTGTTTGGCTGGCTACTAGAAATGAAGTATTAGAATTAGAAATACAAATCAACAGTACCATAATTTAGCAAAGCATGAATATGGAATAAAGGTAAAATGCTGTATTGAATGGGTGAAAACAACCATTCTTGAAAATTTAGGATATAATATTTTATGAATATGTCAATAAAAATATTTTTTTGATATATAGTTTTTATTTTATTTTATTTTATTTAAATGTGAATAATAACTATTGAAGTAAATAGAGATAAATAGATGTAGTTTATATATATAAAAAAATAGAGATATTTTTTTCAGCAATAAAAGTGTTTCAGATTAGTTTTTATATGCTTTGAGACTAGTTCTTTTTTAGGTGTAAATAAAAGATATTTTCCAACATATGATTTTGATTATTTTAAAAATAAATTTTTAAAAGTATTGATTATAAAAATTAAATTCTAAATTTAATCTATAAATATCGATATTTGCTTATCAACATACTATTATTTTGTTGTTAAATAAACAGGGATAGTAAAAATATAGAATAGCTACGAATTAGTGTGAATAGACCGTCAAATTCGATTTTTTTATTATTTTATTTTATAAAATTCATCAATTATTACCATATAAATTAGTCTGAATGGACACATCTTTTGCAAACGGATCCTTAATAGTAAAGAGTAACATTGGAACTCTTAGAAACTAGAAGGGTAATATTGAAAATTATTAAACTATAGGGATAGACGTGTAACATTGATGAATCTATAAGAACAAAAATGAAGTTTGCTCTCAACAAAACGAGCAGAATTCGAGCCCGGTAGTTTATGGAAGTTGGTCCTTGGTGTGGACTCTCCCAATTCACACGAAGAAGAAACCCTCCACTGTTTTTTTTTCGTCGGAAATTTCCCCAATTTGGTGTTTCATTCAATAACAGATTTTCTTTCTCCAAGTTGGATTCGCATCTAAACACCAGGTAAATTGAAATATATATTCTATTCTTTTTAGTGCCTGATTTTGTTCTTTGCAGCTTTTAATGGGTTATCACCAAAATAAATGGGAAACTGGGCTTGTATTATATTCTTAGATAAGTTAGTAAATTCATGTGGATTTGGTCATTTTTTTTAGGTTTAGGTTATATTTTACAGTGTTCATAAAGTGTTTGGTGAAATGCCTCTCTGAGAATTGTCTTTTTTTTTTTTTTTTTGTTAAGGTTTTAGTTTTTTCTGAATGTATGATACTATGATTCCCTTTTTTCTTCTTTAATAGAAAGGCATATCAAGAATGCCAAATTATTGAAGTTTTAATGATTATATTCAAAGTAAGCTTGTCTGTTAAAATCATCATGCATATTCAAGGTAGCGGTGTTTGTACAAATTAAATAAATAATTATGTGCTGACTTCTTTTTATATCTCTTGTCTGTTTTCAAACTATCCATTGCCTTGGGTGGAATCAAGTTACTGAAGTTGGGATATTTCCCATCTCCTAGCATTATAAATAAAGCCCTATTAGGCAGCCAGTGAGCGTGTTCAATCTGTTTTTCAGTGTTTGGTTATAGGTTTGGCATTAGAGAAATGAAAGGATGCTTAACTTTCTCATAATTACATGTAAGATGAGAAAAGTATGCTTATTTTGTAGAAGAATAGTGACGAAGCACAAAACAAAAGAAGAAACAAGGAGAATTAGGGCTTGGATATTCCATTGTTAATATATAATACTATTTTCTTGTGGATTTTAGATTTGGTGTCATACATCGAAGTACCTACCATGGAAGGCTCTAACGAAGATGATTCAACTGTGGTTCTGGACAGAGCCTCTCGAGCAACAAGAGGAAAACGGTTAGAATGTCAAACCTTTTTATGTGATTTTCTTTTTAGAAAGGTACATAAGAAACATGATTTTTTAAACATATTCAGATTTTGATATATATATATATATATTTTTAAGGATGACCAAGTTGCTTGATGAGGAACTTGAAGAGGACGATTTGTTCTGGAACCAGGATGCTCTTAAAGATGTACGTACAATTCATGTATTAAAAAAAAAAAAAAGAAGTAAAACTCGTACCAAACTAAATTGGTTTCATTCAACTGGGATGTTACATAGTACTATAAACAGGTCGCACGATCTCTTTCTAGTGATGGTTTGTTGAAGGGAGCAGCTTGTGCTTCTTTTATTATACACTTTTTAGCTTTGCTTGTAACCATGAGGCAGTTCAATAAGTAAGAACCCACAATTTTATCAATTGTTTGCTCATATATTTAGGATGAGAATGATGATAACTATCAAGAAGAGGGGGAGGTTGCTGATGAGTTTGATAGCGACTTTGATGAAGATGTGAGTATTTTTTTACAGTTGTACTATGTGTATATGTTCATGACCTCTAATTAATGTTTATGCAACAATTGTGATTTTCAACTTCTTAGTGAACATGCAAATGTTACTAACTTATGTGGTTCATATTGGTGCTAGGAGCCCGAGCCAGATGAAGAAGCTGAAAAAGAAGTAGAAGAAAGGTTTGATATCTACCAGCTGAATCAAATTATAATTACTAATAATCTGTTGACATTTCTAATTGTTGAGCCTTTTTTAGGCCGCGGAACAAGAAGCGGCTTATATTTCCTGGAAAGACTTTACCAAAGAAGAAAAAGAAAAAGAAAGACCTTTCAAAAGTAGATACCCCTTCTAAGAATGAAAAATCAACTCAACAGCCTGCTACTCCTGACCGTCAAGATGTTCCTGATGATGTGGAAGGGGAGAGAATAGTGAGAAAATCTACAAGAACCTCAGTCATTGTTAGGCAAGCTGAAAGAGATGCAATACGTGCAGCTTTGCAGGCAACAATGAAGGTCATTTATTGGCTACTGATGGCATATTTGTTCTTTCATCATGAATGTTGTCGGATAAGATTTTTCTTACTTGGTTTTTAGTTACTCAATTTTAAAATGTATAATTATGTGATCGAGATAGATGATTTTTTTTATTTTTTTTATTTTTTTACTGCAGCCAATAAAAAGAAAAAAAGAAGGCGAGGAGAAAAGGATGACACAAGAAGAAATGCTTCTTGAAGCAGCGCAAACAGGTTTAGCTCATGACGTGTTGTTGCTGGAACCTTTGTCTAATTGGTTGAAGTTATGAGATTCTTATGCTACATCTGATATTATTTCAACTTGAATGTCTTATGTTGTAATGGGCAGAAATCGTGAATTTAAGGAACTTAGAGCGTGTTTTAGCGAGGGAGGAAGAAGTTAAGAAGAGAGCAATTGTGCACAAAGCTGTGTACAGTGGCCCACAGATACGATATTTTTCTAAAAATGGCAAGCTACTAGTGCTTGATATTTGAATCATTTTTTAGATATGCAACTGTTAATATCTATTAAAGTACTGCTTGTTATTAAGGTTTTGATTATTATCAAAACCTTTTTATGTCAATTTGTTCGTTTCTTGCAGGTTGCTCCTATCTAGAATTCAGAGGATTGTCATTTCAGTCACAACTTTCAACAACATCCGTTCCATGTAAGTTCAAGTTTAAATGCTGCTAATAATAGCATCAGTGGTAGCTTACTGTCTAAATCAGATGTATAACTCACAATGGTCAATGGTTCTAATTGTGTTTAAATTTTTCCGCCATTGGTAGTGTATATGATCAGAGCTCTGCTGTGATCACAGCGGTAGGATTGATATTCACAAAACTGTCCTTGATATTCATATGATCTTCAGGCCACAGTGAAAATTTGCAATTCCCTTGATATGATGTGCATAAAGCTTAATCAATCCCAGGAGTTGATTAGTTATACCGCTGAATGTTTCTGAATGGATAGAAATTGGCATCTCTATTTCGTTTGGATAATATTTGAAATACAACTGGTTTTTTTGGCATGGTATTAGTGCATGGTATGAGGATACACACACAACTGGATTGGATAGTTTCCTGAATTGTGCATCAGAATTACCACCACAAGAAAGTCCTCCCTTTTAGATTGCCCTGAATTTTAGTCTTGGAAAGATAATCCTCCTGCTTTTGGCAGTTGAAATGAGCTACCTACTGTGATCAAAGGTGCCAAAGACAAGTTTGGTGCCACTCTTTTGAAACTATTCTATCTCCAGATGTCTATTTAAGATCTGGAAGATCCAGACCGATAAAAAAGCTCATGCTTGCCATACACACTTTTGCCAACATTTTCTTTGCTTATGGAAAATTGAAATTCACATCTACTTTGTGACTTGAAACATCCTTTGCCTTTTTTGAATGTTTTAGATCTTCAATTTTAGACATTTGAAGTAATTTTTTTAAAAAGGATGCTTTATATATATATATATATATTTTTTTTTAAGGTACATGTCCTTTATTATGTTTCATATCTGTGGTTTGATAATTTATTTTTATACCAATCACTTACCAGATCCAGAGAAGGCTGTATGTGCTGTAACAGGATTGCCTGCCAAGTAAGATCTCATTTTCACATTGATGGTCACTTGTTATTTGTTTAAAAGTATCAGTTTGAAACATGTGATTCTGTTATTTTGAAATGAGATAATGTTTACTAGGCTAGTTTACAAATTGTGGTTTTTTATTTGATGCTCATCACCTTGAGTTTGATAATTTTGAATGTTGATCTATCCAAATACATAAATAGTTAAATGATAGATGGAAGAGGTAAAGTGAAATATTTTGAATTATTGATGAACTCAGCAATTGCATAATTCACGTCTCCTGGAACTTATAGTCGTTCTTCTGAAATTAAAAAAGTTCATGGAACTAAAAGTACTCTTTTCGGTTTTTCTCTTACCTCTCTTTTCTTTCCTATTATTCCTGCAAACTATGCTAAATGAGAATCATTGTTTGGATTCTGAATTGATATTCCAGGTATCGTGATCCAAAGACAGGGCTACCTTATGCAACAAAAGAAGCTTTCAAAATTATTCGTGAGCGGTATGGAATCCTCTCTCTGCAGTTCTTCATGGCCAATAGCTAGAAAAATTATTAAATGCTTTTCTTATCAGTTCACTTCTTGTTTAAGACAATTCTTCAAAGCTGATCCTGATGCCTTTCATGATATCTATGTTGGTTTCCAGTTTTGAGGATGAAAATGACAATATCAAGAAAATGGCCATGGGCGATCTATTTGATTCACTAGTTGGGACTGGATTTCATGGCAAGAGGAAGCGATTCCCAATTCCAAATAGACGAAAAACGTCACATTTTCCCCATTTTGCTAATTTTGGCAGGATTCCTATTGTAGATATTGAATCTTCAGAATAGAACCATGGAATATGGGCAATCAATTGTTGTATTAGTGTTAGCAATAGCATTTCCATTCAAAGTTATGTGTAATTGTGTATGATAGGCTTGTATAGTTGCCCAGCACAGAGAAAGGATGGCATTAATGAGTTAATTATGCTATTTCTAGGGTTTAGTCCAACAATTATTTCAGTTGGACCAAAAAGTTTTTCTTTCTTTTCGGGCCAAACGTAATTAATCTGGCCACCGGGCTTAACTATTGATAGTCCACCCTTGAAAGCACATATTGTTTCTTTTGTAAAGGCAAATCATGGCATAAGATCACCGTTGAAACAAGCTGGGAAGCATATATCTAATTTGTCTAAAAGCTAGCATTGTTGTCTTGTGGCTTGTGTTTTGTGTTTTCTTACAATAATTACTTTTGACAAATTAGTTAAGCTGGATGGCTCAACTTCTTGTTGCCTTAATATGCACCTTTGCAGTTTGCTTCTAGATTGTTTGAATTAAACCGGCAATCTGATGGACTCTGTAGTTTTTTTATTTTTATTTTTGAAAAAAGAGGACTAATTTATAATTGACGTCGGAGAATAATAATAGTTTTTTTTATTCGATGAACGGAAATGGTTATTCATCTCATTCTTCATGATTTGATTTACAAAAGTCAAAAGTAACTTGAAATGGATGGTTTAAACTGAATCCATTTAGTCAAATAGAATTGGGCCCATTTCGCACCCCTTTTGGACCAGAAGACTGAGAGAACACACATCATCATTGTAAGAAGATGCTTTAACACAAGATGTCAGTTAAGGTAAGGTAAGGTAAGAATGAAAACAAAGCAAAGCAAAGAAAGAAAGAAAAGATGCTCCCACTAAAGCTGCTACGCTCTCTGGTCTTAGGAGAAACCATCAACAATCCTCCTCTCCTCCTTTCCCATCATCACCATCAACATCACAATCACACCAACAATAATACAGACACAACACGAACTGGAACCAGAACCAAAACCAAGACAAAGACAAAGACCCCACTACTTCTGTTTTTACCAAATAAAGAACTTGTAACGGACACATACAGGTTAGCCAAAATTGCAAGGGACATGGGCATGGATTTATACCCAACACCATCTCTTTCTCATATTATCTTCTCTTACCCTTCATCAGGAACATCATCATCAACATCACCACCAACTCCATGTACATCATCAGTGTCATTATCATGGTCATCAACCTCATCATTGTTGTATTTACCAAACAATGCCATTCCCTTACCATTTCCTTCACTTTACTCTTCTTCTGTATTCCATCTTCGCTCTTTTGTTTCACTCTCAAAAGGGTTGTTCAAGCTTGTGTTTATCAACTCAAGACATACCAAGAAAGTTATGGATGGATTTGAAAGTGAGAGTCTTTATAATAGTAATTGGGATTGTTGTTCATTTTCTTTGTTTAGGAGGTTAACTGGTGATAGAATTGATTCCATGGATAAATTTTCAAGGGCTTTAGCTGGTGTTGGATGGACCCTTTTCACGACTAAGAAAAATAACACATCAAGTGATGGAATTGGAAGCAGCAAGATGGTGTATTTGTTTAGAAAAGTGGACTCAAAGCCTGTTTATGTGGTGTCACAAGGAAATGGTGGGGATTGTAGGATAAGGGAGTTGAGGTTGCCTGCTTTGGATTTTAGGAATGCTCCTTTGAGGATTTTGCATTACATTCTCCTCATGACTGATGATGTCTTCTACCTTTCATAACCAGGTACGGTCTTACCTTTCTTTTTAATCCAAGATTTTTTGTTTCATGGGTTACTTGGACTTGCTTATTTATTTATTTATTTTTTTCATTTTTGATTTACTCTCTTTTCTTTGTTTATATTGCCTTCTGTGTGCAAATTGTTAAGGCCTAAGGGGGTTTTATGTTATGTAATGGTGGGTGGAGATTTTTGGGTAGATCTATTTGTATCCCTTTTTTTTTTTTTTTTTTTGTTCAAAAGGTCTCAAATGAAAAACGGTAGTCCTAATGAGTGCCAGAATTTTTGGATTGTTGACTTGACAGATTTACAAATTTTGATTGCTTTTAATGAAATTTGCTTTGGACTAGATTTTCTTTTAGGTCAGGGAGGATATAATGCCTAGATTAACCTCATGGAATAGCAGGAATGTGGATAATTGTGTTGGAGTAACATCCTTCATTCTTGCAAAATCAGTGCTTATAGAGGTGTTAATCTACGTGACAGATTATACTGGTGAGGTAACTTAACTCAGTAAAACCATTGAATGAACTCTATACAAGTCATTGGATTAGTGCACACTGCAAAATGGGCGCCTCAGATTCAAGCCTTTCTTGGGAAATTTATCAATTTAGTCCAAGGAAAAAACGGGTCAACAAAATCTTGATCCCAAATAGTTGAAGTTAGCCACATGAATCAATATAGAGGCAGATTCTCCATGAGTTTTCATTGGCAGGGCATCATTGTAGATGATGGTAGCTTTACTGCTGTGCCTGAGAGTTGAAATGGAACTTCTTTTTTCTAACTTGAGTTGAAATGGAATGGTGCAGGTGGCTAGAAGGGATTAGCTTTTTGCTAATTTGGAAAGTTTGTTTTATAGAGAACTAGGATGGCTTGACATTATTAGATATGAGAACTTTAATGCTCCAGCAATCATGAAGCATCACTTCAGTTTTGATGCTAATACTCTTTCGGGATAGATGGATGTGTAATAGGAACATTACAAGCATGAACAGGGATGTAGTTGAATGCTTGAAGCTCCGATGAGCTCTCAAGTCTCAAGCATATCATTCATAATGTATAGAAAGTCATTTGCTTGATGAGTAAGCATTTAATTGGTCACCAAGACCATAGTGGGTGTGACTTGAGTGGGGGAACAATAAACCCAAGATACTGAACTTATGGAATGGTCTTCTGAAAGATCTTCGCAGTTATCGGAAAAACAAGGATTGTGTTGCCATTTGTCTTATGGCATTTATTTTTCAGATAGAAGGGTATCTTTCTTCAGGGCTCAACATAAATTTATTTGGGAAAATTAGTTTGAAGCAGGTTCAGTATCTGGTATATTTTAACATTCCAACCAAACCGGAAACACTTGATTCCGGTAACAAAAGCTGTTCAGCTATATTCTTACCAGTACAGGCTTTCAGCTGTTCGAAAATTAAACACCTCCTGGCTGGCTCCACTGCTAAAGTTTGTTTGTGGTGTTATTCGTGTGGCATCAGGAGAGTGCTCCTCAGAATAATGGAAAAGAAGAATATTGTGGATATTTGGTTGAAATAGCAGTTGTGGTACTTGTTGCTAACTATCTGAGAAGAAGATCCTTATTTGATATCCACTAACCAAACACCTTACATTTACTTTCAATCTATTGTTGAACACTAGCTGTATGCTCCTTTTTGTGCTACTACTGCCCTGTGTGGTCAAATATGATCTGTAGATTTTTAGAGACAATTCTTTTTGCCATGCACTTTTTTGTTGCCAAGATTATGTTGCTTAAGGAATTAATCTGCATGAAGATTGGAAAACATGGCTATAGAAGCGTTATTTTGTTGATAGTTATGTGTGTGGTGGAGCCATAAACTGTGATGTGAATTTTATTTCTAATTGCAGTACTCTATTTGATTCAATGTTTTTTGCATATGCATTCTTGCCTTTTTATGTCATATATATTTAATCAAAAGCTCTCATAAAACTGAAGTTTTAATTGGCACTTTCATGTCAGCAAATTGCTTGCATTTTCTTTTCTTTTGGTAATTGGAAGCAAATATTGAAGATTGATGAATGTTTATTTGTATCTACGCTTGTTACAGATGCTGGACAGAGTGAAGAAATCAGAGGATAAATTGTATGATGGAAGTCATTTGTTCATACAGACTTTGAAGTACAGTAACTAACAAAATTTCCTACTCTTCATTTTCGTGCCAAAGTTTATAACCTGTACTATGATGAAAAATTGTCGTCAGGAAAAAGAAAAATATGCTATTTCCTTCTTGTTATTATTATTATTGTTATTGTAGGAAACCTAGTACTAGTTCAAAACGTTCGATTTTGGATTTCTACTAGAGAGTTTTAGGTTAAAACTCTTTGGACATAGTGGAGATTTGAGAATTAGGAGAGGGCTATCCTACTATATAGCTACAGACACCAAAGTCTCTAGTTGAAAAAAAAAAAAAAAGGAAAAACAAAAAACAAAAAACAAATCAAAACATTGGTATGGGATAATAAAGGGCCCGACTTGTTGACACTTCTCACACCATTATCTATAAGATCCAAAGGCCCAAAACTAGATCTGTGACTATTTACAATGTGTCTTTTGGGTACATGTTAGACGGGAAACCCTATATTTATTGATGATAAGGAATTAGGACCGATTGCCGTAGGTTGTGCTGTTTATTCTGTGTCTCATGGTTCCATTGATCTTGTCACTCACGTCCATATATGACTTCAAAATTATGGGCTGTTCTCCCAGGAAACTTGGTAGATGTTTATTAGTAGACTACTTGCAGAAGATTCCGTTCATCTAATTTTACCGTGTCGTGATGGATCAAGGTGACGAGTTTGGGTGATGAATCAGTTTTCCTGGGAACGAATATCCAGGCAATCTGGGTTCCATTTGGAAATTATTATCCATACAAGAAAATCCACTTTTATTTTTCCTTTGACAACGAAGATTTTGGGGTGTATGACTATGAAAGTTCCAAAAAATGCGAGCTTTGTCCCGATTCCTTAAGTGCAAGCCAGTTGGGGCGCAGACCAGAAATCTAGCAGAACATTATAGATCTCAATCTCATCATTAACCATTACAGAGAAGTAATTATCATCTGATTCACCAGCTGAAGATAATCTGACTTAAAAATAATGTTCTCAAACCCTGTCTCTTTTGACCATAGGTTGCAGCCTGAGCCTCTCCCATAGCAATAGATCGTTGAGGCTGAATTCCTTTACAAGCACTAAGCATAACTTCCCTGAATTGATTACGAATCACCACTCCCAAGCCACAACTTGAGCTTAAAGCAGCATCCATATATAGCTTAAACCATTTGTGAGGAGGTGCTTGCCATGTTGATGTCTCTTGATCACGAGACTGAACCAAAGTTGGCCCAACTACAGCATTAGCTTCCTAGAAACTAGATTAAGATTTTCTTGGCTATTTGAAAAATACCGGCCACCGAAATTTCTCTCTGCTGCAAAGGAGCACATTACGTGCATGCCATAAGATATGAAGAAGTGTTTCCACTTGACAGACACACGTAAAGCATTGCCGAGAGTCCTCTGTGCTTCTTCTAAATAAGTTTTCCTTGGTGGCTCGATTATCGTGTAAAAATCTCCATCGGAAAAGACGAACTTTTGGTGGAATTTGCAAGCTCCAGATAAGCTTCCACGAACTTGTCTCCTGGTCACTAGAGCTACTGCTTCTAGCGCCCTATGTATTATGCAGGCTAAGAGCAACACGATATGCAACTTTTCACATAGAATATACATGAAGCCGTGTGGTGCTGCACCAGTTTCTCTTGTACAATTCCCTTGCTGAGCGGAATTTACTTTATCCGGATGGCTTCCAAGAGTAAATTATAAACTAGTCCCTCTTGTTTTGGAAAAAATAAAATAAAATAAATTAGTCTTTTTAGTTTTAAAAAATTAATTATTTAAATTTTTTAACCAATATTGATCATGATTAATCTGATATTTTTTCTTTTATAAAATGTCTTCTTTTCTCATCAATATTTCTGTATTTCTGTATTTATACTTATTTTTATTCCTTTTCTTTTTCTTAAAATAAAAATCAAAATAAATTAAAAAATAGCAAAAATGAATAACTAATTAGTTTTTGAAACTAAAGGGATTAATTAATTTGTTTTCCAAAATCAGAGGGACTAATTTATAATTTACTCTGGCATCAAAAGGCTTCCAAATTTATGTTTGTGTTCTTGAAACTATTCATGGGAGACTAGTTTTTCACATGATTTGCATTCTTTTTCTCCTATTTAAATGAGGAAAGTACTAATTATAACAGATTATTTGACAATAAATTAGATTATATTTATTTAATTTTTATAATCTAATTGATGACTTCTGTATCATTTATTTTTCTAATCTATTTCTTAAAATATATTTATCTATCTATAAGCAGAAGGAAAAAGTAATTAACTTTGTACTATGTCATAAATTTAATATTTAATTACGAATAATGTTTTCATTTTAGAAATATTTTGAAACTTTATTACATTGGATAATATTTTTTTTCTTAACCAATGATCCTAATCACATCGAAAATCATGTTCAAAATAACTCAATCTTGATCCTAATCACACCCATATTAGCATCAAACCTGTTTTTTATGGTAATTAATCAAATCGCTGATAAAAAATCCTTTTTTTCCCCCTTAATTTTCATGAATCTGATCTCAGAATTTTCTTTCTTTTCCACATGAATCTAAATTTCTTCTTTTCTTTTTTGAATCAGAAACAGAACCAGAAAGGAGCTGACAGAAAAAAAAAAAAAAAAAAAAAACGGAATTTTGATAACTTTCATTAGTTTTTGTTTCAATTTTAAATGATAGGAGGATGAAGGATCATTATAATTCTCTCAACAGGGGCACAACACAATTCTGAAAGCAGCCAACAGAGGACCGGCAGCTACTTCTCATATAAGCAAGTGTGCCATCATGAAGGGTAAGAAACTGCCAAAACCTTCCATTTTTTTTTTTTTTTTTTGACACATTTCAGTGCGTTCTAATTTATTATTGGAAAGACATAAAAACAAATTTAGGAAGCCATTTGGTAACTTAATTTATTGGAACTTGTATCTGTAAACCTAGAACGCCAGGTCTGACAGATTCAGAACAGTAGTGCTATGGCAAACACAGAAAGGACTTACAGGCTATATAGCTAAGTATAGCTTAAACAAAAACACGATCGATCAGCCTACTATATATCAATACCTATACCACACAAAAGGTAATCTATCTTGCCTCTAACACTGAAATCGAGCATTCGTTAGCTGAATATGGTTTGCTCAGGTTGGATGAATAAGTTCCGTCAATGAGATCCCTTTCCGTGAAAAAACCTGGCTGTTTCGGCTGAGGCAATGCATCATCATTACCTAACATCAAAACTACATATGACATGTTCGGTCTGTCTTCCGGATTTTCTTGCACACACAATAAACCCACGTGAATTGAACGTAGCACTTCAGATAAATTGCATGTTATAACCAAGGATCCTGCAGCCAGTTCCAAAGACCTGCCTTCCATAAACAGCCTCCAAGCCTGTTAAACAAAACCATGTATAACTTTCAATTTCCAAGTCCAACATGCATATCATAGTTGGACTAGATGAATTTTCTAACTTTTTTTTTTGCCTGTATTTCATTTCTCTAAGTGTCTGTAAAGATTGGCAGTCAAGAGTAAAGTGAAACAAAGGATCAAAGTACGCAACATGGTTTTCATACTTACATGCCCAAGAAGGTTGAGCTCGTGGTCCGGATGAGAGAATCCTCTGTTCCTGCTCCCACTTACTATCTCAAGCACCAATACGCCAAAGCTAAAGACATCTGATTTTAGGGAATAAAGCCCAAAATTTGCATACTCGGGAGATATGTAGCCACTGCACATATTCGTTTGTAGAATGTTAAGTTTTATTTGTGAACACTGAAGATAAAATCATATGATGGAGGAGACACTTACTATGTTCCGACCACTTTATTAGTATTGGCTTCAGTTACATTTCCTCCAAAACTTCTAGCCAGGCCAAAGTCTGAAATTTTTGGGTTCAGTTCATCATCCAATAAGATATTGCTTGCTTTCAGATCTCTATGAATTACTCTGAGCCTTGAATCTTGGTGGAGATACAGGAGTCCACGAGCAATCCCGTTGATAATGTTGTAGCGCTTAGGCCAATCCAGAAGCAAGCTGTGTTTTTCGTCTGCCAAATTTTTGCACAACTCCATTTACTCTAGCTCTTACACATTCTTAAATGCATATGTTAAAAGCTTGGAAAAATGGTAATGCATACTTAAAACTATATAACTTTCAATTAAAATTACTAATTGTTACGCTGGTATGTGTGACCATGGAAGTGGAGAAACTCTTCACTACAAGCCATTTTCCCAACAGTTTTGAAGGAATCAGAACAAAAATTTTTGTTCTGTTTGGCGGCTATTTATGCTTGCCCTTTTTCCCTTGTAAATTGCATTCCCAATTTATCTACCAAACTTACTTTTTAGCCATAGCTCAAGGCATTGATAACTCGGAGTTGGTTTTTGATGCTTGTACAATGACGGCCCTGAAGTGCAACAATTGGAAAGAAATTGTAGGGCTTTGAGAGATCCGTACCAAAAATAAAGACGTCCAAGCTTTTGTTAGGCAAGAACTCGTAGATCAGCATTGTTTCATCTCCTTCAATGCAACATCCTAGAAGCTTCACTAGATTCCGGTGCTGAAGTTTCACAATATGCTTGACTTCATTTTTGAACTCTTCAAGTCCTTGTCTTGAATTCTTAGAGAGCCTCTTAACAGCTACTTTTCGTCCATCTTGCAAGGTTCCCTGCAAATAATCACCCATTATTATAGCCAATACTTTGTTTTGTGAAAGTTGGAAAACATGGGATGATGGTGCATACTACTTTTCTCCGTTGGAAATCTAAAGTCGGAACCCTTTCCAAGCAGTCATTGTTTTATGCTATAGAAAGAATCAGTCCCATGAAATTTGGAAGCCCTCATATTTCATGATTGCTTAAAGATTAGTACCTTATAAACCGGTCCAAAACCCCCTTCTCCGAGTTTATTGTCAACACAAAAGTTATTTGTTGCACAAGCTACTGTGCCCAAATCAAACAACGGTAATTCCAGATCTTGCTTCTCAGGAGCGCTATGTGAACTTCTTTCCAAAGCACCTGTCATTCGTCATGAGTAGTATGGATAAAAATAAGTAGGGGATCTGATCTATTTTCTGTTGCACTAAACTTGCCTTAAGACATCAATCATAACCAGCTCCTTAATAATTTGTGCTTGTAACTTACACTACTAATATTTGAATTTGAAAAAAAACTAAACTTATTATCTGAAAATCAACAGATGGAGCCATGGAAGTGGTTAGATGTTCTGGTGTGAATAACGTACTGTTTTTCTGCTGCTTCTTTTTCCAAACATACAAGAACAAGGCTAGGCCAAGGAACGACAGTACTGCTGTAGAAAGCACGCTTACTAGTATCCTTTTCTTCACGTTGGATTTAGTATTGATCTTCATGCCGCCACCATTAACTGTAACATGGCAGAGAATAGCAGGAGTTAGAAGACAGTAATTGGAAACACCAAATGCCCGTTGTATCTATTTGGTAGGATACATATTACGGCTGGAAAAGTTTCAATCGCAACTCTACGCAAGGCAAATCAGTCTATCATGCTAGAGAGTAACATGTCAAGTCATTGATCTTATTATGCTTACAGTTCTTTTAGGCTAACTGATATTTTTCCTATGCAGTGCCAATTGAACATGCTGTATACATAGATTGGCACATGGATACATGCATACTAAGGAACTCTTACTGCAACCATATGACAGGATTTTATGTAAAAACACAATAGGATTACTAGAATGAAGAGGATGAAGAAAATTTTCTTTTAATGCATTGGATTTCCCATTTTACAGTTTGCAATCCGAAGTAATTGATACCTACTTATTAATCCTGAGGATAAATTCATACCTAGTTCTGATGCAGGCATCCGTATATAAATATCTTGATCATTTTCAGGAAGTATTCTGACATCAATCAGGTCACCGAACCAAAGCAAGCACCCACTTCCTCCATTCCTGACATCCAAATTTGAATATGCTGTACAGCTGCAGTTCTTTAAGCATGTGTTCTTGCACTCGTCGAGATTCATACTCGCGTTATACCATGATGTTTTTGTCTCAGGCAACTTCAGTTTAGAGATTGTTTGAAACCCATCACTAGAACAATTTAGTGGATTCTTTCTAACACAGCCTTCTGACCAATCCATCATGTTCCAGTCTCTTGAAACCTTCGGTACAAATCCATTCAAGCAACCACACAATGGAGAATTGTGAATACTACAGATGCCATTTGCACCGCATAGTGCATAATTTTCACAATTATCGGCATTTGCTTTCTCGTAAAATAACCAGCTTTTTGTGCTCTCAACCCAAACGAGGTTCTGGATGTCACCAACAGGAGTTATAAGGACCCTCCAAAGCGTTGATTTACGAATGACGTGCTCTCTGAAAAATGTCTCTTTCTCATTGGAAACGAATTCGTATGTGTACAAGGGATTTGGTCTTAAATGAGGAGTGCCACTGTGCCGCAGACCATTCCATGGTCCAGACCGGTGCCTAACTTTTGAACTCTCCATCAATAGGATCTCAGTATATCCATAAGGAACAAGTTTACAAGTAATATTACCTTCAGAAGGATCATCAGGTGACTTCCATGATGTCATGTACCAGTCCATGCCTGTTACTAGA